ATGCTGCTGGGCCAGGTGAGACCCTCATCCCCAGCACTGCGGGGGGAGTGTCCCTTCCCATGGCTCTTTTCTTAGCTGGGTTGTTTCAATGGGCATGAATAGCTGGTTGGGAGAGGTTCCTGGCTCTACTGTAGTACCTGATGGGTTCTGACCCAGAGAGAAGCTCATGGAGCCCTGGGCTGGAACTCAGAAGCTGGAGCCTGGGGCTGCGACAGTGGAAAGCAGAGGGAGGATGCTCCGGTGCTGGTGCCACTGGGGAAGGAGCTGGTCCTCTACCCTGTGCCACCTCTGTGCATGGGCCTATCTCCTCTCTTCTCCTCTTCTTGCAGGCGTTCCTGCCCCTATTGAAGAAGGCTGCCCAGGGGAGCCCGGGCTCAACGCTGAGCTGCAGCAAGGCGGCCATCATCAACATGTCCAGCTCTGCAGGGTCTATTGAGGAACTCTATTTATGGAATTATGGACAAGTTGTCTCGTACCGCTGCAGTAAGGTACTGCCACACCACGCTGGGCGTGAGTCCAGACACGTCCCTCTCCCTACAGCCTCACATGCCTTCCAACCTCCCCCTCAGTCCCTGCACCTCTCTGCACTGTGACTGATCTCCCGTCAGTTACTACATCCCTCTCATGGTACATTGCCATACCTGGCCCTGGGTCCTGCCTCAGAGGGATGTGCTGGGATGGGTCCTTGCCTTGGCCGGGTGTCTGCGCAGGGCTAGTGCAGCAGCACCATGTGCCCTGTGGAGCTGGCTCCACCTGCCCTGCTCTGCCCCAGCCACGGGGTCTGGAGGTGTCCCTGTGCAGCACCCCTCCCCTCCCAGCGCCGTCCCTGCCCCGTCTCCCCGCAGGCTGCTCTCAACATGCTGACCAAGTGCCAGTCCCTGGGCTACCGGGAGCACGGTGTCCTCTGCGCCGCTCTCCACCCTGGCTGGGTGCAAACCGACATGGGGGGCTCAGGATCACGAGTGGTAAGAGGGCTTTTGGCGAAAGTCTAGCAGAACCTTTTTATCTGGGGATGCAGAGCTTGCTGTGGATTGAACAGTCCCAGACATGCCAGGCTCTGGGAGGCTTTCTGGCAGATACCGAAAAAGAGATGAGAGATGGGGAACTCTTCTTGCTCTGTGCTTGCTTCTTCTCCTTCACTCCAGAGTGCCCCACGCCCTGAGCGATGGTCTGCTCCAGAGCAGCCCTTAGCCAGGCCTGTGACACATGGCTGGGTTTCCTCCTCTGCCCCCACAGCCTCCCCTGACAGTGGACGCCAGCGTGAGAGGGATGCTGAAGGTGCTCTCCTCCCTCTCTGAGAAGGAGACTGGGACCTTCTTGAACTGGGAAGGGAAGGTCGTGCCCTGGTAAGATGTCAGCCCGGGACCCTGACAGTCCCTTTGCTGCTGCACCAAGTTGTGCCTGTGTCTTAATAAATCTGTGTCTGTAAACAATAAGTAGCACTGTTTGAGCCTTCCTCTTGGTCTCCTTTGGACTGGCATTGTGAGAGTCTTCACTATTGTTTTGAAGCAACTTCTCAGAGTTATTTCTCAATATAATTATGCTAAGCTGCTCTGAATGTCCCGTCTCCTCTGTCTGGGAACCTGGCCATCATACTGGTAGGGCTTTTTCCCTGGACACAGACAGGCTCATCCCACAGCTCTCCCTCTGAATGGCAGCACAACCTTCTGATGCATTAGTCACCCCTCCCAGTGAACCCTTCCTTGTTTGTAAGTTCAAAGGCCAGCAGAGCACTGCTCCTCCTTGGCTTCCTATCACTTGTGTCAGGAAGTTATCACCAATGCCCTCTGAGAACCTCCTGGGTTGCTTATGCCCTGCTGTGTTGTCCCTCCAGCAAATATCAGGATGGTTGAAATACCCCATGAAATTCATGACCTCCAAACATGAAGCTACTTCTCTGTCTAGCTGTCTGTAGAAGGTCTCATGCACTTGTTCCTCCTGATCAGGCAGCCTACAGCAGACACCCACTACAGTGGCACCTGTCCAAGCCTTCTCCTTAATCTTGACCCATAAGCTCCCATCTGGCTTGTCTCCCATCCCCAGGCAGAGCTCCCTGCACACCTGCTGCTCTCTCACACAAAGGGAAACACCATAAAGGGGTCCCTGAGCCCCACCAGTACCCCAGGACTGAGGATACTGATGTGTGTGTCCATCTCCAAGCCTTGTTCGTATCCTAGGAACGGGAACACTGCTGTGGGCGCAAGCCCCACTCTAGCAACAGTGTCACAGCCTCTCCAGTTGGCACCAATGAGCCAACCACCACATCTGGAGTGTGTGTGGGAACCCCTCCCTGGCTCTCAATGACAACCCATGCTCGAGTGAGGTGGGGATAGCACTCCACAACACCCACCACACCTCCCCTCCCTCTTGTAGGGCAAAACCTTGGAGGATTTGGGGGGTTAAGGAGGGGTCAAGAAGGTTTTGCAGCCCCTCTGTGACATGATCTCGGATCACAGTGAGACATTCCATGTCGGGGCAGAGCTGGAGGCCCTTTCATGAAAAAGAAGAAGGTGGAGGTTATGGAGGAGACCTTTCCTTCTCATCCTCCTGGTACAGGAGTTAACCCAGAGGGTGACGGGGACAAAGATGGAAAACTTGTGGCCAGATGTGTTTCCAACACTCAAGAATCTTACCCCTGGTGGTAAGACTTGTAGAAGTGATATTCTGAATGTTGTGGACAGCATTAGCTATGAAAGTCTCTGTAGAAACAGGGCTTTTTGGAGAGGATTTGACATGGCTGATGGGTGCAACCAGAACCCTGCCTGATCATCCCTTACTGGCTCAGGGATCAGTTTGGCAGCCAGGACTCCTGGGTCCTCTTTCCAAGGACCTTCCTCTGCCCCTTCCTTGCTGTCCACTCTCCAGGTCGAAGCCCCTGGCACCAAGGGTTGCTGCTTGCTTTGCAAAGGGGATTGGTTGCCCAGAGCTCCCAGCGGTGGTGGCTGTGCGGAGTCGATGAGCACAGAGGGCTGACAGCAAGACATACATGGAGGTCCCCTGAGGCTCTGAGGCCTCTGTCGACACCACACCATCTTCTTGTTGGAGTGGACATCTATTCCACATCTCCTGTCATGTGGAGCATCTCACATATTTTTAATTGGGGTAGCAATACATTTAATCTCATCATCTCCTGGGGTAAGAGTGTGCTGAAGGGTTGTGAGCTTGCTGACTTGGACCATGACACATCTTCTGCTTGCTTTCCAGAGATCGTTATGATCTGGAATAGCGTGTCTGAATCCATTAGGTGGCACTTGGCACAGGACAGGGTGAGTCTTGCATCATCGTCCTCCCCTTGTGGAACCCTGAAAGCTTTTCCTTGTCTGGATAATGCCGCAGCATCCGGTGCCATCACTTAGCTGCGCTGAAAGCAGAAACAGTCCCCTGGCAGGACACTGCTGTCAACACCCGTGGCACAGACCAGCTTCTCTGGCATGTGTGATAAAAATCAAAGTCCAAATGAAGTAGAATGTGCTAAGCATTTTCTGGGGCTTCTCTTGTCTCCACTGCCAGAATGGGAAGTCCATAACCTGGTATGTTTTTAAGTGTTTGCCCCTATTGAAAACACCTCCCAGTATATTTAGGGGAGGGATGTCAGCTCTGCTGTCACTTTTCCCTACTGCCTTCTTGAGCAGAAGAGAGGAGAAAAAGCAAAACAATCTTCCTCAAGTGTCTCATCTTTGTAGGCTTGGGGTGGGCAGTGCACAAGGCAGCATGACCATGCTCTGACCAGTCATTGGAGACTTGCAATGATTCCTGGTTTTTACCTCCTCTGTTCTCAGGGTGTCCAGCTGTTAGGAATTGGGACATTCTATGTTCTTCAAGACCACATGTGCACTATGGACAGTGAGGTTTCGATTATTCGGAGACCTGTGTTTCATATGTCCAAGGTGATTGCAGATGAATGCAACCTGAGCTATGCTGAAGAAGATGTTCCTGGTAAGAAGATGGGTTAAAACCTTTGCACCACCCTTGAGTCTTATGCTTACCACTGTCAAAGTGTAGCTGAAGGCTGGATGCCAAAAGATGTCCTGAGAACAGCTTCAGCATGTTCAAGCTGAACAGGCCACCAAGGAGCAGTATCTCAGAAAGACCCACTGAGTGTCCTTTTTTGATGATACACCTTCAGCTAGAGGATCTCCTCTTTAATCGTTTTCACGTTTGGCTCCAAAAGATTCATGGTTGTGCAATGGTAGGGTTGGAATTTATTGGAGCTGCTGTTTCTTCTGAAACAGAGACAGAGCTCATGCTCTCCCTTTATGGTGCTACTCATCTACTTGTAATGGCAAAGACCAGAGTTCCTGCTGGTTCTTACAAGCTCCTTCTAGAGCAAAGTGGGTACAAGTTGCTTGTAGATACACCAGAACCAAAGATGAGAACAAGAGTTTGTGGAAAGACACATGGATGGCCGGATCTGCCATGACTTCTGGTCATCACAGCTACAGTGTGACATGAATGATGCTATGGGGCAGGAAGAGCTTGGTTGGATCTGTGTTTGGAGGGGTTCTTCTCTTTCACATGACCCCATCTTCCTTGTGATCAAAACGTCAGGTGGGTGTATGGGTGTGAGGGGCAGGGGGACAGAGGTATCATGCTGTGCAGTCCTGGCATTTTGCTCCTCCACTGCTTCTCCATGAGCCTGGAATAGACTTAGCTGGATGTCACTGGGCATGGGCATGCTTGTGGTCGAACACCATGGACTTCATCATGGGATCTTCACCTGTCTCCTCTGCCCTGCCACGCAGTCTTCATCCCCCAGGCCCTCTTAGGAGCTGTTTGTATGGCATTCAACAGGCTGCCCCAGAGCAAAGTCCTGCCTGAAGCTGCTGGCACCTTCATAGAGCCTATGCTGTCCTGCTCCAGAGGTGATTTTATTCCTCTCTTTCTGTTCTCTAGGTGATGTGACAGTCATCCCTCTGAGGTGCGAGGACCTCTCCGTGTGCACCCAACTACCTTTCACAACTGTGCAAGGCTGCATGTATGAGACTGTGACAGCATTCTTTCGGGCCACCTCTACAAGACAGGACACAGACTTTGTCTTCAAGTCCATTGGTGTTATTTCCATACGAAAGAGGGAAGTCGTGATGAGATTTTTTGATGACTTTCTCCTATCTGTGGATGGCACTGGAAAGCTGCTGGAACACCTTCTCACTGTAAGTTGATCCCTTCCCTATGCTACACCTCATCCTTCTGGACATCTGTCAAACAATGATTGAACTGATATCTAGTGGCCTGTCAGGACCCTCTCAACCACTGGGACAGTCATAGTCTACAGCAATGCCAACTATGTAGTGTCCTTCTCTTCTGTGCGGTGGTATAGTTGACAACAGGAGAATAGAGGAAGAGTCATCCTGAGTTAGATCAATCCTAGCCCAGCATCCCACTGTCTGTCCTAGAAATTATAATGGTGGGGTTTCATGCTAAAGAGCCCAGGAAACAAGGACATGCCCATTGCATGTCCCATCCAACTTCAGCCCTCACAGAAAGACGAGGTTTAGTTCCCTCATGTGTTAACAGACACAGGGTGATCTTACTGCTTGTGAATAAACTCCTTGGACCACATTTGGGATGCTGAGACAGCACGTACAGCAGCTTCAGTTCCCCATATTCCTGTTGTGAACCTTGCACGGGACAACACACGGTGGTGTTATTGTTCCTCGTGAATTCCAATCTGTGCAGCTTCTGCCTGGAAAGCTGAGGGGGGGCTCACATGAGCCAAAGAAAACTTTGTTCCAGGATGTCTGAGTGGCCGTGTCTTCCCTGAGCAGAAAACTTTATAAACAAGGGTAAAAATCTCCCTTGAATGCTCTCACATATCTCTGTCTCTGTTTCAGACTCCAGGGTGGAGACATCTGGTGATATCAGACGGAGAAAGTCCTGACTTTCACATGGGTCCTCGTGGTGTCTTTTTGTTGCCAGAGTATGTTGTCTTCTTGGTTGGGGAACTGAGGCAGCAATTTCCATTAGGTTTCTCCTGATTCACCTCTTTTTTCTGTGTACAATTTCAAAATGGAAAGATCTCAGGATTTCCTGCGCATGGATTGTACAGGAGAAGTGTCCCTGAGTGGGTGCCAAATGGAAACATGTCCTGTGTTTGTTACATAGCTGTGCCTCTGGTGAGATTTGAGGGCCTCAAGTGCCCCTAAATGCCTGCATCCCAAGTGCCTGGGGACAGGAGGAGTGATTTTCCCTCCTGTGCTCGAGTGAGGTTCTTCAGAGCTCTGGTGAGAGCCCAGTTCTGCTCAGCAGCATTCTTCATGGCCCTGGGGATGGTGGTTAGGCATTATGGATGCCCCGACATGAGCCTGAGAGAGTCTGCAAGAGACCTGCAGGGCAGAGTTAGAATTCAAACC